CTGAACTTTAAAGACTGTTTCAATACCTGTTTATAGTTGGGCATTATCCCCCTGCTCAGGTACTCTGCAAACTATCAATCAGTAACAGTAGTGATGTATGAAAATTGTTTTGAAGGATAATACTTAAAAGTTCATATTTATTTTGATGGAATTACATAATGAATGACTTTCCATTCAATAATCTTCATTGCAAAGGTGATGAAATAGAAAAACCTACCATACAGACAAAGACACCTAAATCAGTTGAGTTTAATTGCTGTGGTACATTTGTAATGTAGAAATTGAACAGAACTTGTCACTGATGAGTTTCTGTAATTTCGTCCATGAAGGAAGAACAAAGCATATCTTGTTATGAAATTGGTAGACAGTTACAATGTACTGTCTAGTTAGCCTAGCTTCCTCTCCAAAGTTTTTAACTTTTTTTTTTCAATTTTTTTTTTCAATTTTTTCTTAAATGAACACTAGTGAGCAGCACAAAGCAACGCGAGGATCTTGTTTACTTGATTTATTTCTCTGACTGGTAGTGGGGTTATTGGGGCTGTTGACAGTTGGGAAAAGGGGGGAAGTTAAAAATAGAGAGTCTCCAGAATCAACAACGAGGTTGGTTCCTGCCAAGGCAGGTAGGTCGCGCTAAACGCTACATGATTTTCTTCGGTAATACCGGCCAAAAGGACAGGGCCACTTTTTTGAATATAAATATTCCTATACAGTTATCCTAAGCTTGTAGAAACCTACAGAAATCAAGTTCTACAACACCGTTTAACATTAAAAAACCCAGATATGATATACCTCCTAACAAATGTTGCTAAAACTCAGGATGTCCCGTTGGACGGTACTATTTTCTTCGGTAATACCGGCCAAAAGGACAAGGTCACTTTTGTGAATAAAAATGTTCCCATAGAGTTATCCTAAGCTTGTAGAAACCTATAGAAATCCAGTCCTTCAACACAGCTTAACAATAAAAGCTAGAGGTGATGTACATGCTAACAAATGCTGCTATAATTTTGGATGTCTCGTTGGACGGTACTATTTTTTTCGGTAATACCGGCCAGCGGGACAAGACAAATTGATAAGACATTTATAAAAGGATTGCTTACTATACAGGACCAAGAACACTTCAAAGCTCAGAATAAAGGCAAACTGCGTCAATAATACCGTAAATCGCGCTTCTCTTGCGATAAAACGACTCCCTTGGCTATCAGTTTTCACCACGCTTGAGCCGCCACATTGGATGTTTTCGAGAATTTCCGAAGTCGGTCCGAATCGGAAACTCGTTCCTAGTACTCCTCGGCTGTCCTTTTGGACGGTATGATTTAGGCACAACCAGGGCGGATAAAAGTTGAGCGATGAAACGAGCGCTCCGCTCTTCATTCAATGTGTGATGTGGAGAAGGACTGGTACGAACGCTCTTTCCGCGCTTCCGATACGCTTGAAGGCCGGTGAAATTTTCCTTTTTGCAAATTGGAAATCCTATTTTCTTTCTGTAAGTTTAGGCTACAATGTTAAATAGATAAATTTGTTTCATAACAATATTAATAAACAGTTTCATATGTCAATATTTGTATGCCTAAAAGTCAAACTTGTTGGTCGTGTTATGCCAAATTTGAGTTTAATTTGAAAGTGTTGAATGCCTACTCCTTCCGCTAATTATGACCTAATCATCTTTCGAGGTTTCGTTTGCAAAAGCTTAACACTTATTAACTGTAATTTTTACATATATTAAAGGGGGATAAATTTTACTTAACATGACAAAAAATTGGCTTGATAGATTTTGATATAGTGGCGTTGTACTACTTCAAACATTGCTTCTCGGGAGCAATGTGCCATGGCGATTCGCGCAATGCGTCGCAAACCGGCGACCGAGTGTACACAAAATTTATTAAGGTTAATTGTGAGGTATTTTCTCCGCTTTTCTCTCTAAAACAAAACAAAGGAAACAGTAAACACTGAGTGGAAACTAATTTTGAAGTTCCGAAGATTCAGAAAGACGTACGAGATGTTTTTTTCAAAATTAAAAAGAAGGATGATGGTGATTGAAATTAGCATAATTCACCTTACACGAGCTGCACACATTTATAAAATACATGCGTCATCTAGTTATGAAAAACCATTTGCTGCCTTTTAGTTTTGCCATGGATGACATGGATGAGATTTTCCTCCGTGTTTTAGACAGTATTTAGTTGTTTTTGCTTTGGAATAACATCGACATTGGCGTACTGTGACGAAAATATAATTCAGTGGTGGAGTCATGCAAGTAACCAGAGAAACCATTTGAAAGAGATGTTTGTTTACTCCAACTAAACCTCCCGTAAAAAATTAGCAACATTTGCCTCTTGGAGACAGCGTACCAGCACGAGGACAAGGACAAACCACATCGTAAGCCCTGACCGAAGTCGAAAACAGGCGACATTTCTAAACAGAGTCCCAGTCCATTGCATCACACCTTTTTGCTCGGACGCGCTCGTTTTATCCGCCCTGGGCACAACCCAGCGGTGTACGGTCACGTGATTACCAAATTTTCTGGGATGGGTAGATTTACTTACCCATGGTGCTCCGCAGGCGCGCTCCGCGCGCCAGAGCTCCGCTACAACGATTTTGGCATGACAGCCAAAGGTTTCAAGAAATCGAGCGAAGCCTTGAAGGACATTAAGAGCAACAAATACAAATTAATCTATGCCTCCGCTGAGCAAGCTTATATTATCGAGCGAATTTCTCAGTTTGCTGAAGGACGACTCCTCCGAGCTCAAGAAATCGTTGTCGCTGATTGTTGTGGACGAAAGTCACACGGTGGAAACCTGGTAAGTGGCGAGAAATGCAAGGTTGAACGTTTTCTAGTAGTTAAAAGGTCATTTTTTGCGATCAGTGGGACAATATATGTTACATTTTAAATTTTGCCTTTCATTTGTTTAACAAAACTGTAAGGTCACTCGCACGCGATGAATTCCCTACGCGATATCTTTGCATGTATTATTGTAAGCTAGCTATTATTGCTTCACAGCGAATCTTTTACTGAGATTTTAATTTTATGAGAACTCTCTTACTCTTGTCTGATAATCACTTCAGGGGAAAGGGCAAGAAGAGAGGAAAGAAGGTTTCAGAACCGTTTAGAAGAGATTTTTGCGAACTGTCAACCCTTCGATCCTTTTATTAACAGTGATTTTGTTTATCCAAACTTAGAAGTTTTACAGTTTAATTTTTCGTATTTCAATTTTGATTTGTTTGTTAGCTATAAGATGCAAAGCTTAAGAAGCTCAGTGTCTCTATTTGTGTACCTCTGTGTTGTAAATTCCGTTCGTTGTTTGCCATTGAACATTGAATCCTGTATTAACTTGTTGTCCAGATTTGCATTACATGACAAGTATTAAAAATTATCGATACAATCCAAATATGTAGAGTCATGCTGATTAAAACATGTGGTAAGATTTTCGTTCAGATTTTTACCTTTTTTGCATGCATTAACATCATACTATTTAACAAATAAGTTTGAAGCATGTATATGTTGCAGTTAAATTCTATTTTTCTTCTAAATTCTATTTCTATTTTTGGTTTCAAACTTATTACTAACTATACCTATGAACAGAGTGCCAACGAGCAAATCATGCGTATTTTGCTTAGGAATAAAATTCATTTTTTTTCCCATTTGACCGTTTCTTGGTCCCTTTCTGTAGCAAGGATTATTTTCTTGAAAAGGTGTTACTTATGTAACACTTAATGAGGTTCCAGAGGAGAGTCAGTTCTCAGATTCAGTCTGGTGGCTTTACAAACCTGCTATGTAAAAGTGTGAAGTGTATTGAAAAAGTAAAATCAGCTTTGCAGAGGAAGCGATCGGGGATATCATTAAGTCCAGCTACAAATCTACTGTGAGTTCGGTTTCTCATTGTAGATAAATATTTGCGCAGTTTAATCATTTAAACCTTCTTTCAAATTTCCCGAGGCTTTTTGTTATCCGATTGAAACTTAGAATGATTCGCTGGGCCATCTGAAATGTTTCCTAGGCACGATGTACGGCACGTCGGTATTTTCGTTCATCTTTTTTACACTGAACTCGACCAGGTTTCGAGTAAAATGACGTTGTTTTCTTTTCCTTTGTCATTCCCTTTAGGCTTGTAATTCGTTTTTGTTCTCATTTTTTTGTTTGCTGGTTAGATTTTTTCCCCAATACCAGATTTTCCAACAGAAGCGACTGTATTCTTCGTGTCAAGCTTTCCTCATCTCCTCGTGTAATCTGATCCTTTTTAGTGGTGAGAATATTGCTTGTTGCACATAGAACACTTTTGCTGTTTTACAAACCTCTCGTCGTTAAAACTTAACATTATGGCCCATAAAATTAATAGAATATATCAAGTGCTCATGTTTCTTGACTGCAGTGGCCAGGTTTGACAAATAAATTTAGATAAATAAACAAATAAACTGGAGCCCGTGCGCCAGGTACTGCCTTTTGATTGGTTCACAACTGACCACTTTGTCTCAAGGGAATCTACATTACATCAGATTACGGGTTACAAATTTACGGGTTACACATTTTTCAGCTCGATCGAGAATTTTTCTGCCTATTGCCCAGTTTTGCGCGGCTCTATTCTGCTGCCGCCTCGCCATCCGAGCGTCTTCGCTCGGATGGCTCGTTGGCAATCATACATTACCATACACAAAAACTACAGAAAATAATTTTTAACTGGAAATAAAAGTTGGGTCTGTGCTTTAATCATTTAAACATTATTTGCCTAATTTCTCTGACATGTTTTTCCTTCTATTGTTCTAGGTTTACCCCTATTAGCAATCACAGGAACTGCCACAAAGAAGATGCAAACCACAATTATGCAGCAGCTTGCCATGGGAGAGAACACTGTGATGCTTAACATAAGTCGAACCGTGAGAACATCAGGATCTCTGTGATAAAAACTCAGACTAAGACCGACGAGCTTGGTTACCTTGGATGGTTAATAGATATAATCAAAGAAAGAAACTTATTGTCTCTAAAGACAATAATTTTTTGTGCCACAATGCATGATGTTGCAAAAGTGTTTGGTTTCCTGGCAGGGAAGCCAAGAATCCCCGAGAACAGGTTGGTCGGAATTTACCAAGTTCCATATTGACTTTCCGTAAATACAAATCTACGGTTTCACATTCATTTAAAGATAACGTGGGACAAGTCAGTATTGTGATTGCAACCTCTGCCCTCAGTTTGGGAGTCAATTTTCCTGACGTTAGACGTATCATTCACATTGGCCAAGCGACAAGTGTTGTTGACCACATACAGGAAGCCGAAAGGGCTGGAAGAGATGGTGTCAGTACACATAATGTTGCGCTATACCATGGTAATCAGCTCACCCATTGTGAAGAAGCTATCAAGCAATTTGTACGTTCAGGGAGTTGTGTCAGAAAAGCTTTATTTAAGGACTTTGATGATGTCCCAAGCAATAATCCTCCACTTGAATGCTGTAGCATCTGTGACAACAATTGTTTATGTTTTGGTGAGGAGTGTAGTCGCGAAAGATTTTCTTTTAATGAGCCAAAAGGGATGACATCTACCACAGAGTCTTGTTCCGCGTTCCAACGACCAGTGTCAGAAGAAAATGCCGAGACATTGCAGAAAGTGGTATAATAATAATAATAATAATAATCAACTTTATTTAACAAGGGTAACACTGGACAGTACTTCAACTGAATAACTAGTGGCCCTCAAACTAAATTGTAAAACAAAAATTAAATGACAAAATACATATAGTTAAAGAAAAAGAACTATAAATATATATATGAATAAGATAGTAAGAATAAGAGTAAAAACTATATTGCAATTAAAATATCCTTACAATGAATGTCTACAAACTACAATTACAATAAGAATACAGCTAAGTATGCGAACTCAAGTGTGGATTGGGCAACAGGAAAGCATTTATGTTTGACTCCACAAGTTCAAGCAGTTTCACCTCAGAACTAGTTAATGAACTGGTTGAAACTGCAAAAAGCGTAAAGTCTCTTGGCCTTAAAGACAACGCCACGAACCAAATAAGAATGAAGATTTATTCAGTGCACATACAAACGGCGTGGGTTGAAACTAAAACGGTAAAAAAGTAAAAAAGTTACAAGTTGCGACTAAAGTAAATTAGAGTAAAGAAATAACAAAACTGCAAAACGAGGACTGTGAAATACACTTACATTGTTTCGGCCAGAGAAAACTGCTGAAGCGGACTGCGAATAACGCGAAGCTAGGGACTAGCAAGAAACTAAAACAGAACTGCGCTAAGCGCGAACCAAACGAACTGCCCAAACTGTACTGCAAAATTACGATATATGAAAAATACGCTAGAACATGCGGAAAACAAAACTATAGAAACTTAGAAAGGCGCTAATGAAGATGAAACAGCAAAGAAACGCTAACGAGGGCGCGAAAACTGACAGAAAGGAATAAACACCTAAATTAACGCAAAAAAAAAAAGACTAAACAAAAGGACGAAAAGAAGTATAAACTAATTTGCGTACGCAAAGGAAAAACAAATTACACAAGAACGAATAATAGGAAAAATGTTACACTTGGATCTTACACTGGTGTTACATACATCCTCTGTTTTCTCTTTATCAGACATTCTCAAACGCTTCCCAGTATTTAGCCTAGGTCATGCCAAGTTGTTTTTAGAAATTTTCCAAAAACATTTTGAAGACATTCCATTCTTTGATGAAATGATGGCAACAGTTGTACCTAATGACCTATTTTTCACGGACTTAAATTATGACTGTGATAAAAGGGAACACATCTCATTTGAGTCAGATTCCGATCCAGATAGAATTAACAGAGAAGAATTTGTAGTTGGTACAATTTCTTATTTGTCATTTTATTGATTGAGATACCACTTATACGTAAACACAGAGGGGAACGTTATGTAAACGACGTTATGACAACTGTTGTTAATTATCCCTAGAGAATAAGATTACCTAGGATAGGCAGCCCTTTATCATGTTGTACCCCTTGCCATATTTTACAAAGATGAGGAAATGATATTTTGTATATTAATACAACTCGGACAACCACTGAAATACTGAAAGTCTTCATAGCAGCTAATTTGATGACTGTGTTATCAATGTCATTTTTGTGTCAAGAGTTTTATCTTCAGTTTCTGCTAAAGAACAAATTGTCTGAGCTCTACATAGTACTTGCTTACTTTTATATTTAAAGTATAGTGCTTTTTTCACCTAATGAGATTGAAGAAAAAGACACAAAAAATGAGTGCAAATAATATCATTTTCTCAGTATTTTTTTGTTGCTGATTAATTCCACATGAAGATGTAAAGAGTAATCATGAATGTTATTTAAAATTGGTAAATGACATTATTTCTTACTAAAAACAAATGATGATCTTTAACCAATTGCCCCTGTCATTGTCAAGTTTATGCCGGGGAATAAATATCCACAGGAGTACAACAAATTCAAAATGCAATATCAAATGAATTTTTAAGTCAAGTCTGACCTTACAACACAAATCAAGTGAAATATATCACACTGCTTAAAACTGTGAGGAAATTTGTATAGATCTGCATATGAAACAGCTGATAAAAAGGAAAGATGTGCAGGGTATTAATACTCTAATTTTAGGGTTGCTATGTGTAAATCTTTTCCCATATTCTCAGATGATTCTCGATCCAGTGGAACAAGTTTCTGTAGTCCAGTTTTTCAGTGAGGTCTGAACTGAACTTTTCAAAAACTTTGTAATCGCTCCTCCCTTGGTATTCCTCAAAGACCATTCCCTTCACTAGGTCATCAGTAGTCTGCTTTACTGTCTCAGCAGGGTCCTTCCCTCCTTGCACGGTCCCAGTTCTGCTTTGACCCCTGCAGTCTTCTTCCACTGTTTCCATTATGGTGATCAGGTGATTTAAAGAGGCTGCTACCCTCTGGGCATTCACTTCATTGAGGTTAGCACCAAGGCTTTTTAAGAAAGCCTGAACAAAATTATTGTCATGTTCTAATTGAAGATCTAATGGAATATTTCTACTTCTTTTTCCAGTAGCATTGCAAAACCGATTCCACTTTAGTCTGAAGGCTTGTGACTCGCTGAGCAATGCATTTACGTTAACTAGAAGTATCAATGTGGTATATGCATACTTTGTACAACCGTGGCTCTTGTAAATTAACAATAGAATTTTGTACAAGGCAATTACCCTCTCCCCATCCCCTTCTCTTATTGCATCATTGAAGTTGGCTAAAACAAGACCGTGACAAAGCTTAGCCTTATGGTAATTAAAAATAGTGCCTTGAGGTTGATTCTTGGAACTGCCATCTTCTTGGGGCTCATCAGGTATCTCCAGAGTTGGATGCTTTTTCTTCTCATGGCTTAGAGAAATGATATTAAAACAAAAAAAACCATAGTTAATTAAAGTGGAATGGTTGGGAATCTCTTTGTTCTGGGTTTTTGTTAGCTTTGTTGGACCTCACTGTGTACAACGTTCAACAGCATTCCCATGATTTTAAAGTTATTGACCAATAGAAACATTGCATTAATTTTTTCGGTCATAATTTCTGAACAGAAAATAAAGGGTTGTGCACGGTCAGGTGCTTCCAACATAACCTTCAACACCACTGTTTTCAATTTTGATGTTTGCCAGGTTTCCTAACCTCTACTAGCTATAAAAAAAACGAAGCAATCAAAAATTAAATTAAAAAGGTAGTTATTATTTGCAGAGATTAATTTATTTTCGGGTTCTTATTGAGTAAACTTGTAATAACCTGGATGGTTAGGGGGGGAAGAAATTAAATAACGTTGATGCATACAAGGTCTATTTAGTTTTAGAGTTCAAGATAATTAAACTTTGCAATAGCTTTTCTTCTATTGTAGTCTTGGATGAAGCACAGGATCAAATTATAATCACTTGTTCCGTGTTGCCTTTGTCTTGTATAGACGTCCACAGTTTCCTCTTCACATGTAGTAGCCTTCACTGTCCATCTCGTCAGTTGGTCCAGTATCTTGCACCAAAAGTGCCGGAAGTGAAACATTCTCATTCCCTTCAAAGTAATATATATATTTAGCCGAGCCTAAAAGCGGAGCTTCCGATCTCATTACAACAATAATGTAAAGATAATAATACTGACAATAATGATGATGATGACAACCCTACACTGCCCAATGTCGCGTACATTATTCACAAACATTCCCATGTTCTCTACTTTTCTGAGAACGATGTAGAAATGATTTTGAAAACCTTCCAATAGTAGCTTATCACCATCCTAACAATTTAAGCGATACTTTTGTTAGAGCCCAATTACCAGAGACTAGTAACTGTAACAATGACCGGGCCACTCCCGGTTCTTTTCGGTGCAGCAGTAAATGCGCCACATGCCCCTGTTGCTGGTTTTCAGTGTCACGCCATTCAAAATAGATCAAAATAAAAATTAGAACGTATCAACAGTTTAAGTCCAGAATCTGGGACAGGAGAGAAGGTAAATATACAAAGACCCTCGCCAAGATTCGGGTTAGAGAAAGCGTACCCTAACATAAAAGCAAAGAACCCTTTTGAAGCGAAAATTTATATGAAAATTAGTTTTCAGCTGCTCTAATACATCATGAAAGTAAAATCTCAGTAGGATAGATAGTTTTGTAATTTGAATTTTGGTGACTTCATGTGAAAACCAAGAATAAAACACGGTTTACATCAAACCGCAGTTTCAGAACGCTTTCTCAGCAATGGTCATGATCACTCTGTTTCCCATATGTTACTTGTCACAATTGAAACACTATGAACGCGATTGTCTTAGGAAAGCACGCGAGGCTCCCCTCATTTATAAAACTAAAACCATTTGGCCTCTGGGAATTAGCAGCAAACTATATTCATTATGTAATCCTTACCATGTACATCTGTAACTTACGTTTATTATTTTACAGTAGTATATATTCTGTATATTCTTCATATTTTTTTCCAAATAAACCTGGCGAAGACTGGTATTGGCCAGTCGAAAATATTGTATACCTTAGCCTTTTTCACCTCGTTGATCAGTCTTTGCAGAAGTCTTTTTGACTTTCATTTTATGAAAGAAATTTTCAGCGTCAATTCCGAGCGCGCGAATGGCAAATAAAAAAAATGCTGTTTTAAAAAAATTCGATGAGCTCGGACGAGTCTAAGGAGGCGGGACCGGAGGCGTGTCAGGGGCGTGGTAATTTAGTGTCCTAAACAGAGCTGAACAACGTCTGCGCATGTGCAGAGACGGGAGAAGCCTGAGATCTAAACTAGTATCGTTTTCAAAGGGATTTTCAAAACATCCTCACATTTTGGCGATTTTTAAGGTGGATTCGGAATATTTAAGGTTCTCATTTAAACTAAAGGTAGATTATTTCATGTTTTATTCAATTCTCGTTTCTACCCTTGTAATTTTTCTTCTTCTTTTTTCTATGAACAAAAGAAGACGCACAGAAGAATCTTCCGTGCAATAATGGTATCGTTTGCAAAGGGATTTTCAAAACATCCTCACATTTTCCCTATTTTTAAGGTGGATTCTAAATATTCAAGGCTCTTATTTAAACTAAAGGTAGATTAATTCATACCTTATTTAATTCTCGTTTCTACCTTTGTAATTTTTCTTCTACTATTTTCTATGAACAAAAGAAGACGCACGAACGAAGCCGAGAACGGTTCTTTCATTCGGATGTGTACATGTTTAAGCGTAACAGAAATCAAAGACAGACTATCAACATGTTATCGGTTCTAAGAAATCGTCCGGACATCTCATATCAGTGTCAGCATTAAAGGTACAGTTTGATATCCATCTTTATTTTTCCTTGAATGATCGCCTTTAACTTAGTTCTCTTGTCACGTCTCGCTAGGTTTCACTATAAAAACTGTAAGAACACAAAACAATCACTAAGATTTCGAATTCTCTTCTTTCTTCCAAACTTATTTCACTTTATGACTCATTCTTAGCTCAGCCTACAAGAGCTATTATTGTATATCACTATATATCGTTTACACTGTATATCACAACAGGCAAAATTAATTTTGAAAAGAGTAAATATTTAATTAAGACAATCGATGCCTGCTGGTAAAAAGTATCAATGACTTGAAGTTCTCTCAAAGCTTCTCCCAGGGAGAAGCACAATCTGACTCTTTATAAACTTTTACTTATTTTTCTCTTTGAAGTCTAGATCTTCATTCCTTGATTCGTCTGCTTCATTCAAACCCGTTATAAATGGTAAACCTCTAGTTAATACGAAAACTCGTATAAAGCTTAGTCAACTTGTGATATTGTTTCTAAAAACTTCACCAGCTTTAAACTTTAAAAGTTTATTCATTAGTCAAGATTAAAGCAGCAAATTAAATTTTAAACAAACTTACCCGAATAAATACTGATTCTACAGCTCAACCATCACTTCGAAGCCGGCTAAAGCTAGATGTAAGAAAAAGCTTCTTTGATTGCACTAAGATTTGTTTACGTTATAGGAGTTTAATAAGTTTATGACTTTCATGACTTCCATGTCTGATGGTTTCATCGCCGCACTCAAGGCCGGCTTTCTTGCCACCAAGAAACGGCCAACAACTGTTATCCCTCGGCTACATTTCAAAGATTTGCTCATCCTTAACCACAATTAAGTAGTGTTTAAGTAAATCGTTTACGTACCATCAAAAGCTATCAAAGAAAAGTCGCCCAAACTCCAGTACATTGCTCTTTTTATATTTCTCAGTCATCTTTCTGTAAACTTATTGAAGATCAAAACAATGAAAAACCTCGCCGGGACGATGGTTTACGTAACATTCCTTTCCATGAGTTGCATTTCTAACGTATTCACAGAATTTCTCCTTCGTTGGCATTCACAAATGTTGGTTTAACAGATGGTCGAAGATGGTCTCTGTTGAATTTCACTTCGCACGTCCTATGCTTTGCGCACGGGCTAGGCAAACAAAGAGGTAAACAAGTGATGTCACAGACATGCGTAGTACGTTATTCAGCCCTGTCAATGTCCTACGATTGGCTCACAAGATCGAGCCCAGGTCTACCGGTGTCGATCGCCCAGGATTAAAGGTAAGCCGCCATCTTGTATATTCGAAGTCCCACATGTTTGCTAATATTTAATTACGGGTTTTCAAAGGGCGCAGGGCAAATGCTAAAGACAAAAGAATTAACTAGTTGAGAATGTGTTCACGACTTATCTTGAAGATCCTAGGGAACAAAGAGAGACAACTTGCATCTACCGAACCTTGATTCGTTATATGAAGATACAACAGTACAGCGTCCCCCGGCGCTGCCTCCGATCCAGGTAAACAAGAAATAAGCAATTACATATTCTTACACTATTTGTGACAGTGTATCTTATACCTGCCAACTCTCACGCCTTAGGCGTGAGTCTCACGCCTGCGGGTTGAAAACTTCGATCGGTTCACGCTTGCGGGCCAATTTCTCACGCCTGATTGAAAAATGTGAGTTGTTGCCATCTTGCTTGACACAATTTCCAAAAATATGTTAACTCAGACCCATGTAAGGAACGAAAACCATGTGTAAAATGAATAAATGACAATACCTTCCTCGCGATCTCTGATTTTTGAAGTGAAAAGCACTGGGAGCGAGCTCGCGTTTATACACGTCCTAAGACTGGGATTCGATAACTTCGCCTTCGGCAGACTTCGGATGTCTTCGGAAAACTTCGGACGTCTTCGGAAGTCTTCGGACTTCTTCGGAAATGATCGTGTCGTATTCAAAAATCCCAGCACTCCCAGGATAAAAATCTCACGCTTATATCTCAGAAAAAGTTGGCAGGTATAGTATCTTTAGACACAGGATTTCTAACTTCTGCCGTTAAAAATTTGTGAGTGGCATTGTCATTTAATGCACACAAGGCTATCGCACAATACCTGACAATACAAAATGATCAACAAGGTAGCGACGGCCATTTCAACAATTTACAACGAAATGACTGCGTGTTGAGTTTAGCTGAGTTTTCAGGTCGTTAGAGTTCATAAGTTAAACTTAATATTATTTATACCGGCCGGTTGGAGTACAAATGATACAGGACGAAGTGGAACTTAAATCTCGCAGTTTCATATTAGAAATTACCGTAGTTCAGGGGCCAGTTTCATTTAAAATAACATCAATTCAGTTTGGGGTTCTTCAACTCCAACAAAGTCTGTTAAAAACTTTTCCCAAGACTAAAGGTAGAAGTTTTGTTCAAAAGTTAATCAGCAAGTTTTTCAAATTATTTGGCATCATATTTATTCATGCTCAATTGCCCTTTTTTTTATCATTGCAGAAATTATGAAGCATTGATGAGTTTGCAGGAGATACACGCCAAGGAAGACATATGCCTCGTTCAACTGAAACCCAACCCTCTCACCCATGA